CAAAAATAAAAACAAATTTACAAGTGCAAAAAAATTACATATGTATACTTTATTTTAAGTATAATATATAATCAGTTAATTGTTTAAGTACCACTTGAGAAGGGCTGCCAACTTTTGAGGCTAAACTTTAATCAGTGTGGGAAAAACAAGAAAGGAGACAAGTTCAGGTAAGGTGGCTCATCTGTTTTGTGCCATGTATAAATAACAACTGTGCAAGAGAATAGGTTTAAAGTTTTGTTTTAATCAGTAGACCATTTTGGTGATTAACGTCCTATGCAACAAACATGCAAATATAAGATTTACAGTAAATATTCTTTGTCATATTTTCCTAGATAAACATAGGATCGATGGTGCCACATGGATGTGATCTAAAACCTGTAAGAGGGAAAACACTCCCTTTTGTTATGGCCGATGGCAAGCAATTAAGCAGATGTACGATGGATGACTTTTACAACACCTTTATTTACAGACCTGGAGGTAGCAGCACCTGATTTGCTGAAACTAGCAGTCCAGAGAGTATTTGACAAGGACATGGTCGAAGGACCATACATTCTTTTGTATCCAGATTGCTCTGAGGTGGTCCATGTGCCTGGGACAGAAAGGCCATTCATACTGGCTGAATATAAAAAGGAATTAGAAAAAAGGCACATTGCACACTCTTTTATACATATTCTTTTACATAAAAACACTTTAGAAGAGGTTTGTGGATCTGACGATTTAGTACTTTTTTTTTATTTATCATGTTTTAAATTACTATGACATACTTAATGTGTTGAATTAGGTCCTTGGTCTTCTGTTGGTGAAAGGTCTGGACTGCAGGCAGGCCAGTTCAGCACCCGGACTCTTCTTCTGCGAAGCCATGCTGCCGTGATGGATCGGTGTGTGGTTTAGCATTGACATGCTGAAATATGCAAGGCCTTCCCTGAAAGAGATGCTGTCTGGATGGCAGCATATGTTGCCAAAGCCTATGTATTTCGTTCAGCATTAATGATGTCTTCACAGATGTGCAAGAAACCCATACCACGTGCACTAATGCACCCCATACCATTGTGGGTGCCGGCTTTTGAACTGTGTGCTAATAACAAGCTGAGGGGTCTTTAGCCCAGAGGACACAGTGTCCATGATTTCCAAGAAGAATTTCAAATTTTGATTAATCAGAACACAGGACACTTTTCCACTTCCCCTCAGTCCATTTTAAATGAGCTTTGGCCCAGAGAAGACAGCGGCATTTCTGGATTGTGTTGACATATGGCATCTTCTTTGCATGAAACAGCTTTAACTTGCATTTGTGGATTGTACAGCAAACTGTTTTCACAGACAATGATTTCTGGAAGTGTTCCTGAGCCCATGCCGTGATTTCAACTACAGAATCATGTTTTTAATGCAGTGCCGCCTGAGGGCCCAAAGATCACAGCCAGCCAATATTAGTTTTAGGCTTTGCCCCTTGCATACAGAGATTTCTCCAGATTCTCTAAATTTTTTAATGATATTATGTGCCGTAGATGATGGAAAGCAAAAGTTTCTATTTTGCGTTGAGAAACATTATTCTTAAATTGTAGCACTATTTGATCGTGCAGTCTTTCACAAAATGGTGAACCCCTCCCCATTTTTACTTCTGAAAGACTCTTTGTTACAAACTGTAGTCCATCTGTTTCTCTGCATACTTTGTTAGCCCCCTTTTAATCTGTTCTTCAATGGTCAGAAATGGACCACCACAGAACAGGTATTATTTAGGAGATGGGAGGTGGTTTTAATGAGCTGGCTGGTTGGTATACATGTGATAAAGGAAGAATGATACAGGTGGTATAAATTTGTTGAGTATTATATGTTTTTAACCTCAGGTTTTTAAACCCCAGGACCAAAGAATGCCCAAAAAGAAACCTGAAGATGAAGTGTAAGTATTAACATGTAAATTTAAATCATTTGTCTGTAAGCTGGTAGTGTAATGAGGTCACATGTTTGGAACAGACCCTTACATTTATGATGAGACCAAAGTTTTCCCTCTGACTAAATGAAGTAAGAAGTAGTGCAAGAATAATGTGAAATATAACAAAATTATCTAGATTATGGCTTACCATACCTTGAAATTTTTGTACAATACCCTGTTACACTAAGTTAGTCATTTTGACATGTTTCAGAGATGCAACAAATCTTCGACAACAAATCCTGGACAGGTATTGCAGCAGGTGTTACCTCATTTTTTTTGCTTTCAGTTTTGTGTTGTGTTGGACATTAGACCCTTTTTTTCACTTTATTTTTCAGATGGTAATATCTGATTCTGAGGATAATCGGGATCCACTTGGCCAAGTCAACTTGCTACAGGTAAGCCATGATTCTTAGAAATTTAGACTAGATAGAAAAGAAGTGGGTTGTTTCTAAAATATCTGTAGAATGGTTAACTTAGAAAAAGCTGTAAATCACTTAAAAAGCATGTTTCAGTGTAAAGTGTAGCCTTTCAACATAGAAACAATCATTTCCCTACAGTAAATACACAGACTTTTATGCACAACGTGTTGAGGAGGATGAAAAGCCTGTTCCTGTAAATTTTAAGAATATATCAGACATGACCATGTAAGTTGGCAGCTATTGACAGTGGCAACTCAGTTTTTCTGTTTACATTTACTGATTTAATTTCTTATGAAATAATGTGTAAAAGGAGCCTTTTATTGCACATCACTTGTGCAAAATAACAAATTCTGTACTGTCTAGAATTTCCACCAATATAATTTAATTTTCTGTAATTATAGTGAGGAGATACCAAGCGTGCAACCTATTCAGAGACCTGTGACATGCTGCTCAGATTTACTGATGATGCTGGTGTTTTTGAAGATGGAATTGATGCAGGTGGTCCAAGATGCGAGTTTCTGACTCTACTGATGAACCTTCTAAAAGACTGGCCAATTTTTGATGGACCAGCAGGACAGCGTTTCTTGGTCTTCAATGCAAATGGTATGCATTGTGTTAGATGTGTGACTTGCGCTTATACATCACTGATATGCTTTGTTAATTGAACTGTTCCAGAGTTTCATCTCAGTTCTAATGGATTATGTAGCATATATGAATTTAGAAATATGAATGATTTTCATGCACAACTGTCAGGGAGGATGAGTGCTACTTGGCAGGAAAGATGACTGCAGTGTCAGTTGTGCATGGAGGTCCAGGTCCCCATTTCCTGTCAGGAGATCTTGTACTTTACCTTGCAGGCCAGGCTTCTTTCAAAGCAACAGTTGCTTTAACTGATGAAGAACTAGGCAAAGCTTTGGGAGAGGTAAGAAAAGTGGAAGGATATGGTAGGGCAGGGTTTATTTATTTGTTTCTGCAGTGTGTTGAAAAAAATCTTTATTTTCATGATCAAATACACAGAGCAATAGCTGCATTTACTACTCTGTGATAGTACATGAAGTAGGATTAAACTATGTGTGTAATGGAATGAAAAATGAAATGGCAAGCAGATACAGTATATACAGTTATCAACTGAGTTTGTATACCCATCAACCATAACATTAAAACCACCTTGTGTCTCAGGTGTTTGTCCATTTTATCAGCTCCACTGACCATATAGGTGCACTTTGCAGTTCTACAATTACAGACTGTAGGCCACCTGTTTCTCTGCATACTGCTAGCCATTTTTACCCTGTACATCAATTGTTCGGACCCCACAGGACCACCACAGTGCAGGTATTACTTGGCTGGTGGCTCATTCTCAGCACTGCAGTGACATTGACGTGTGGTGGTGTGTTAGTGTGTGTTGTGCTGGTGTGAATGGATCAGACACAGCAGTGCTGCTGGAGTTTTTAAACACTGTCCACTTACTGACCACTCTTTTAGACACTCCTACCTTGTCAGTCTACCTTGTAGATGTAAAGTCAGAGACGATATCTCATCTGCTGCTGTACAGTTTGTGTTGGTCATCCTCTAGTCCTTCATCAGTGGTCACAAGACGCTGTCCACAGGACGCTGTTGGCTGGATATTTTTGGTTGGTGGACTATTTTCAGTCCAGCAGTGACACTGAGGTGTTTAAAAACTCCAGCAGCACTGCTGTGTCTGATCCACTCAGACCAGTGCAACACACACTAACACACCACCACCACATCAGTGTTACTGCAGTGCTGAGAATGATCCACCACCCAAATAGTACCTGCTCTGTGAGGGTCCTGACCACCAAAGAACAGGGTAAAAGGGGGCTAACAAAGTATGGAGAGAAACAGATGGACTACAGTCCTGTAACTGTAGAACTACAAAGTGCACCTATATTAAGTGAAGCTGATAAAATGGACAATGAGTGTAGAAACAAGGAGGTGGTCATAATGTTATGCCTAATCGTTGTATACATTATATATATATATATATATATATATATATATATATATATATATATATATATATATATGGGTGTTCTCAGGTGTTTTCTATTGATATGCCATTGTTCTGTGTCCTGATGAAGGCGACGCGGATGGATGCGGATGGATACTTTTTGGGTTTTTTTTTTTTTGGCCTCTCAGAGCATTGAACCTACAGCTTAAAGCAGTTGCTTCATTGGATCTACGCAAATTACCAGCCAACTTTGCTCCCTGCCATCTGTATGAAAATAAAAGGAACATGAAGACAAACTTTCAAGTAGCTTAAAACAGTTGTCAACATGTCTCATATGCTTTTTTCCTGCTTTGCTTCTTTGTGGTAAATACATATCCACACCAACTTCAGATAGTCAAATAATATATTGTAATGTAGGTTTATAATGTAAATTGCATATTTAGCATGTTAGTACTACTGTTGAACACTGTATTATATTTTAAGTTTGTCAAGAGCAACATAAAACGTCTAAATAACATATAAAGAGTTACTAGGTCATCCCAACAAATTTAGAAAATAATGCTCTTATTTGAACATTCACTTGAACACATCACACTGACTACTTCATGCATTACATGCCATTAGAGACATGCATTTTGTTCTTTATGTCCAAATAGATATTTTACTGCTTTAAAAAACATCATGGCTAAAATGTTGCCCTCTCCTGGCTTATGAATCCCACAGCTGAAGCTACAGCTTCCTGTTTGTCTGTTTCCTCTCGTGCCTCCAAGATATCTGAGCTGGATGGATGTTCACACTCTAAAAGGAGGTCAGTACTTGAAAGGTCAGGCTTTTCCATGTGGCAAACAGGCAGAGTGTCTTGCAATGCTTTGGAACTAATCTCTTCCTTAGCCTTATTGCTAACAGGCTGCTGTGTGTTATTCTCCTTACTCAAGTACAGGCTTTTTTCTCTCTCCTCATTAGCTCGAGGGTTACTTTCCATATCAACAGGGTTCATGTTCTTCTCCTCTCTCCATGGGGCTTTAGTGGGCATCCAAAGTCTTCCGGTTGCTAAGATGATGTCATCTTGGAGCTGCTTAGCTGAGTTGACAGGTTCTTCAACGGTCCTGCTGGCCAATTTCTCAGGCACATCGCTGAAGACTTGGCCACCACCAGTTTTATCTGCCTTATCAACATACATTTTGGCAGGAAAAGAGCAAGGATAGTAAGTGCTGACCTTCCGTCTGTGGCTCAACACCACAGCTGAGCAGACAATGAGGAAAACAACCACAAGCAGAACAGTAATAACGAGGATGAGGAAGAGGTTTTCTCTCAAGATGTCCACCATTTTGGTTATGAAGTAGTGCTCCAAATGGGTTCCTTTTTTTCCAGTGCTGATGGCTGTGGGCTCCAGAATTTCTAGATTGTTGGAGGTAACACTGGGGATGGGTATCCGCTCAGATTTACCATCTTCCCAGTACCCACTACCCTCAATGGACAAGTTGGTTAAAAGGGGGGTAGCATGTATGGTTCTGTCCCGGTGCAGAGTAACAGACCAGACAATGAAGCAAGAGAGCATTAAGTGATCCATCCTCCAACCAGACATCTGCATTCAAAAGAGGGATCACATTGTGTTAGGTTTATCTGGTTACATAGCCTACAAAATAGTATGAAATGCTATTTCAAAATGTCCATACCACAAAACAATGCTCCCTTAGCCTGGCATGGAGTACCCTTGTCTTGCACATTTTTGTGACTAGGTTTGATGAGACTAGGGTTGGTAACTACTGCTATAAAATATCAAATTTAACTAAAGCATAATACAAGATAAGGGTTGTTGTTATTTGAAGCTGCTGTTGCTATGCATTTTCAGAGCTAGCAGTTGCAGGGATTCCTCATTGGAATCACACAGCAGAATTTATTATTTGTGTCCCATTATGGTCAGATATCTTGCATGATACCTGATCTGAGAAGCACTGCCTTGCTGCTCTTGTGGTCTTAAGACATTTGCTAAAAGTATTAATTTCAGTGAGCATATTTTTTCAACTTGAGGGTTTAAGGTTGCAATTCAGACAATATGAGTCAGCCCAAAAAGCCCTATGCTTCATGGTCAAATGGGAGTAGGAGTTCAGAGTTTCCTGAACTAAAGTCCCTCTTACAGCTTTGTTCCATTTTACCATCTGTTCTCAAACTGGCCATTGCAATCACTGCTGAGCAAGTGGTTATTTCTGAAGACCAGCTATTGACCCTTTCCCTCCAAACATATGCACAAAGAGAGAGGAAGAAAAGACAGGCTGGAAAACTGGCAATAAGAATAGAAGAAACACATAAAATAAAGAACCAATCTACCTCTTCCCCCAAAGTTCAGCTTGCATCAAAAGATTTCCAAAATTAGGCAAATGGTTTCAGTGTGGAGACTTCCTTTAATGCAAATCATCAAGCTTTCAAGCACAGCATAATCAACTTGCCAAAGTAAACTCTGATTAAGGCTTTAAGATAGAGCGATGATTGTATTTTCTGAGAGTTCTGAAATTTTTGAAAAGTTTGGCAACTTTTAAAGTTTCAGGTATTCATTTGAATTCATCCCAGTCATCAAAGAAAACAAGAAGACAGAAAAAGAAGAAGGAACAACAAATCCTCAACTAACCTTCCACTGTATAATCACATGCAAGAATCGTTGTTAATTGTAGATTAAGCCAAATGTTCTAAAACAGCAGATTGAAGATGGTTTCAAATTAGGTAGGTTCCTCTGTAGCAGACTGTGAGATGAGGAATAGTTGGATAAGTGTGGAGGGGGAAAACCTCTCAGCCCCCTCCTCCCTCCTCTTCTCTCTCCACATCTTAGAGAGGGCCTGCTGCAGTTCCAGACAGATTGTTTTTTGTTAAGCTTTGCTGAAGGGTGTTGGGAGGTGTGTGGGTAAGAGGGAGGGTTCTTTTTGCATTCACACTTGAGGCCACCAGGAGTGAACTGCAACAGTGCAGACAACTGCAGACAGATTGAGCATTTGCAGAGCATGGTCGTACACAATACATCAATTCTTATTGATGCAAGGGGTCTCAAGGCAATACAGTGATTCATATTGTGAAACAATTTTTTTAACCTCACTTTGTAGAGAAAGTATTTTTTACATTTTTATCCAGTGTCATGTAGTCAAATTTGCACAACTCAGATAAACATCAGTGACTTATGTTAATGTTTATCTAAAGGAGTCAAAATGAAATCTGGTGGCCTAGTCATTGAGGTAGAAATGTTAGAGCTCAGTATAGGGGGCAGATGTAATGTCCATTATTATATTAATATGGTTATGGTTTAATGTCAGTGTAAATGTTTGCCATTAACCTGATTTTTGTGGTCTATTGTGAATTGAAATATTGTAATACATTGTATCAGAGTTTAATTTGAATTTAAAATCAAATTTGAGCCAAATAATGCATCTTACTTAAATAATTACTACTTAATACTGTATTGTGGCAAAGCATAAATTTAAGGTCCATAACTGCTTAGTACATCCAACATCTATCAGCATATGAACTGAAGATTAATTAGTATTGTTCTCCTTTTAAAACACTATAAATAAAATGTAAAAGTTCCAAAGCAACAGCAAAACAGTTTAGATGCTGAACCAGAAGAAAAGAATGAAATTAAATACAAAGAAGGGATTAGAAACTAAATATGAAGGACTGGAATAGATCTGATTAAAAGTACAGTACTTTCCTTGGAAATGTACTTTATTAGAAAGTATTAGCTTTTGATAGAATAAATAAATGAAAAAAATCTAAATTGTAATAAAATAAAGGTAAAGAAACATAACTAGCCTTTAAACACATCTGATACTGGCCCTAATAAATATTTAATGGCAAACATTCAATAGAGAAGTCTATATTCAATAGCAAGGCATAAAAGACTGCCATATCACTACTGATGATTTTTGCAGCAATGCATTAGAAAAAACTGTGAGAAGGCGGACTTGAATATGAACGTTTATTAACGAAACAAACAAATCAACAATAACAAACAGTGTAATAACAAATTGTGCAAAACAAATAATGTATGGTAATTGTATCCACGTCCAAGCGCATCATTTAAAGACATTAAGAATATCCAATATATCTATCGTTCAAACTCGTCATCAATCATTCCTCTGTTGGTCTCTAAACAGCATTTGTGGCAGAATGTCAAGTGACTGCCAAATTAGTCTAAAAGATCCCTATGATGAAAATAAAACTATTAGCCTATTAATTGCAGTGCTTTTTCAAAGTAGCACAATCACATACGTTATTGAGTTGATACTTGACTAAGCCGTGTACAGTGTAAACAAAGGTTTTTATGAATAAAGTAGGTCTACTTTATTAATATACAATATACGGTTCTTTATGACTGTATATATACATACACTGCTATATTCTTGCTACGTGACAGTTAAAAAAAGTACACAAGAATATCTTCCATCAACATATAATAAAGCAATAAACCTGTAATGCGAGAGAATGACGCAGATGCTCGCGCGTAAAAAGTGAATGAGAGGCTTTACTAGTGCAAACAGAATCCACAATCGTAGTCAGGTCACAGGCAATGGTCAAATCCAGAAAGGGCAAAAACACAAACATAATCAGGCAAACAGTCCAAAAAGGATCAGGCAAAAGGCAGGTCAGAACAGGAAGAAAAAGTCAGAAATAACACTCAGTAGCTCTATGGTAAGACACAATATCTTGCAATGAAACTACCTACAAGCCCAGGCTTTAAACGAAACTAATCAGAGAAGAACAGGTGATACATATTAATACTCTGGGGAACTGGAGTGCTGGTTGGAGCGGGAGAATGAGGCTGGAGTCACGTGATCTCCCAGGGGCTTCTGGGAGATGGCGTCCAATGAGAGTTCAGAGCCAAAGGGGGTCATGACGAAGCCATTAGAGGCCATGCATTGCTGCAATTTTATCATGGGAAAGGGTGTTGATGGCATGATGTGAAGCGGAGTAGAAGAATGTTTGTCACCCATTACTGTATACTGTGATCATTTCATTAACTTTTTAACTTTTAACTTTAAACACTGGCTCTCGCATCCCAACAGTGTTAACAAACATTTGGGATTTAGATAACATCTGGGAATCAGTCACATCCATACTCAATAAATAGAGCACATTGTGGCTGTAGAAGCTAGAATTTCAAAACGTCCCTAGGAGTACTGAGCCATTTGAGATTTAGCCAGGGTTTGGTGCTTCTTAAGGCAGATCTGAGAACATTCTAGGAGGTCGTGACAACATAGTGATAACATGGATGAGACAGCAAAAGTACTATGTAGTACATTTTCAGGATGTTATTACACACTCCTATTATCCTTGGTTGTGTTCAACCTACCGTGGCCCTGTGCATCATTGACTTAATACGATGCATGCTGGTTACAAATTTTGTCTGACTTTCTCCAGCGCTGCAGAATGTCACCGTGTCACATGACATTAAAATCTTGCAGGGGCAAAAAGGCTGCAGTTTCTAAAGTCAGGTGCAGCAGTTTGCGCTTCATCTGCTGCACGAGCTACAACACGCCTTCATGTCGTCTGAACATCACCCTGGGAATCTCCAATGACAAACATGACGTGTATGTTTCATGTATATTACGTTTTTATTCTAAGAACCTAAGATGATTGTTTCTCCCACAGGAGACTTTCTCTATAGTTTTTATTTCCAGCATTTATTTTGAGCACTTTCGATTTCGTTTGCAACAAAAAAGGCAAATGCCACGTGATCGACTTTGTTATAAGTGCTCGCTAAGGAACGTAGAATGTGTCTGACTTGACAGCAGTGTTTCTCTGCCCCACCCCTGCAATCATCAGCAGTTCACGTTGCCCATCAAGTCAGGCTAAGTCGAAAACGACCACAGCCCTTCATAACCCAGCTAACCAAAATACATTGTCATTGGAGGTTTTCATTAAAATTAAACAGGTGAAAGCAGGCTAACTTTACTAGCCAAAGCTAAATCTTAACTTGAACTAAATTACACAGCTGACTCTGGAGTGCCAGCAGATAGGGAAAGTCACTTGCGTTAAAGCAGCATAATTCGAGAATTGGTATCTTTTGCTCCTGGGCTACCCTTTATTACCATTATTAGAAGAGAATGAACTATGTTGACTTACAAAATTACAAGTAATATTACAGGAATTTTTTCCAGGAGGTTGAAAACTTTCAAAACTCACTTGGCGTGACACTGATTAGAGTGACCAAACTTTATGGCGTGGGATGAATTAATTTCTTTGCATGCTAGCCTGAAACAAGACCGAGGTTAGATGACTTTTGCCATTGGGAAAAACTACAAAGCCCCCTGAGGCTGGGATGACACAGATAAGGAAGGTCTACGTCTCAGTCTTTCATAAATAACTTTTCATCATCATCATCATCATCATCATCATCATCATCAACAACAACACTTTTATTCATATAGCGCCTTTTCCGTTTTTGTTTAATGAACACAAACAATTAACAACAACAAAAAAAAAACAGTATAGGTAAATATTCAAGTATAAACGGAACAATAATAACAGTGAAAACAAGCAAGTCTTCAAATGTAGTTATAACTGAAGTTTGGGGGGAGAAGCATG